AAAGATTAAGTCCTTTGTCTTGATATCGAAAAAAAATAGTCTAAAATCCTAACAAAAATTCAGGGCCAATGTATGAAAAGTTTTTCATTTTTTAGAATATTCCTGTCTTATTTAAGAAATGTATAAAAATTTAAAGCAATGGTTTCCTCATCTTGTCTTCACATTAGAATCACTTGGAATTTTTTTTTTTTAACTATGTCAAAGCTCAGGCCATGTCTCAGACTAATGAAACCCCAAACTTCTGTGGGTGGGTGGGATAGAAGCACTGGGAATTTTTAACAGCCTTTGGATGATTCCAATATGCAGCTAAGCTTGGGAACCACTAGTTTAAAGAAAAAAATCATTTACAAGCAACAGGTGAAAGTATTTTTGTATTATGTATTTTTGACACAAATACATAATCCACTTGTCAGAGCTACTCGTTGTTTATATACAGAGAAATACAACATATTAAAACGTCGAAATCCTACTTTGTAATTTCTTTTACACCTGAGGCATCTGTGCTAAATATGTCAGGACTGGAAACTTGCTCTGCAATAATTCTAAATTATAAAAACGAGCAAGATAATTCTGACAACTTCTTAAAAGTGTGTGTGCATAAGATAGATTTTTAAATGAGGACCTCATTGGAAGACTACAGACACTATTTCTTTTCGGGTTTGTATCTTGCATCGTCTCTGTTCCACCCAAGTACTTTGAAAATATCAAGTCAAACATGTCTGATTCTATGCTGAGCTATTTCCACTCAAAGGACATTAAAATAGGAAAAGAAAACTCTGAGTTATGTTGCTGCCTATTGCATTTTAGTAATTTAGGTAACCTCATGCCCCTAAATCTGATTAGGTTTAGTGGTCTTTGTGTCATCAGCTTATTTCTCTAGAGAACCAGACACCTCTGAAAGGTGAGAAATACGGTGGGCAAACACAATGACAAACACTTTCAAGATATGCAGAGAAGCCAAGAAAGCACATATTAGCACCTCGGTGATGGCTCCAGGAGGGTCCAGTGGACGTGCAGCATGACCCGAGCAGCCAGGGCCGTAACCTCTCCGAGCGAAATAGGCAAGGGGAAGCCACTGGCTGTCAGCAGCCCTGTTTAACCCTCTTGAATTTGAAGACAACCCCCCTGCTCAGGCTCACCGATCTATAAGCTCTGCTGTTGACTTCCCATTCAGGAAATCTGGTCAGCAACTCCACTGCTGCTCCAGCAAGCCTGCTGCTCGCACATGATTTAATTGTGGATGGAGGGAAATAATAGGTTTCTCTAGCAGGTTTTAATATGATCTTAAAATAGGGGGAAAGTTTTCTGTTATGACATTGACATAGAGGCGATGATTTTGAGTAATGCAGGATGATGTGGAGATGCCTTAAGATTAAATAAGAGCTATATAAAGGCTTGTCAGAATGAATTCTAATGCGCCATGAGACACTTTGCATACTCTTAAATATGCAAAATGTCTCTTGGCACCCTAGAATTCATTCTGACAAGCCTTTATATAGCTCTTATTTAAACTCCGACTTTATTTTTAGGGAACAGGTACTCAGAGATACTGTTTGAATGGAAGCAACAAAGGGCAGTGTTTATTGATTTGGTTCTCTAGTGGGGGGGAAAAACACAATACAAAAGAGCAATCAAAAGTGGAAGCTTGTTTAATATTGCTCTACCATCATCCTGAAAGGCATAATAATTTGAGTTACACATCTGAACTGATTGGAGTTACAGAATCATATCTCCTTTTTGCATTTAACAATATATACAATATAAAATAAATACATTTACACAAATGGATATTTGCTGGAGCACACAGTATGGTACACATCACAAAAATATACAATTGATTGCTTTACAGATGTGAAGTCCATCTACAGCTATAGACATGGTTTTATTATTATTATTATTCTTTTTACTACTGGCTATAATGCAACTCCTGGATTATTATAAGCAGTTTAAATTTTTTGTCCTTTTACGATCTTTGCACATAAGACTGCCATAAAATGTTTTCCTAGGCAGGTAAACAGAGACGCTTAAATAATTAAAATACAATCACCAACACCCATTTTCTCTTCTATAAGAAAAATAGCAGTTTTAAATTTTTTATATCTTTTATGTTATCATTTAAATGCAAAATAGTGGAATAAATACAACAATCTGATCTGATTGAAACACAAGTGTAACTACAGGGAGTTACACAATCATATTGCTTTAAATAAGAAAAACCTAAAAGAAGCAAAAGAAAAATTAAAATCATATGGCTAAAACATACACCTTTATAACTTTCCGAAACTTCACATTAAGTAAATGGTCTTGCTTGAAACTTGAAGAAACTGACCTCCACTGAGGTTTAAATTGCGCATTTACCCTAAAGCCCGTGCAGTTCTTTTAGACCTACATTTTCACTAGTATTTCCTATTTGTGAGATACTTGTTCTTTGTAATGCCGAGAGTCACTTAAACCGAAAACTAAAAATTGTACTTCGTTCTTCTCGCATATCTCCATCTCATGTTTTCAGTTGGCTGGCTCTTACTTCTGAAGCCCAAGTACTTGAATGTGATACAGTGAAAACAATGTATATAGTGTCTATATTTTATTTATAGATAGTGTGGCTGAATAGTAGCAACTTAAACCTTGCACAAACTTTCTGGAAAATAATCTTTTTAAACACTTACATATATAAATAATCTTAGAGAATCAGCACCTTTTTTTCCCAGGAGTTGTATTTTCTGTTGTTATTTTTAAAGGGATGTGCCAATTTCTGAACTCCTATCACAGCTATGAATTTCAAGTTATTGACCATCTGAATGAATAGCTAATGATGATTTATCTAGAATCACACTACAGTCACGTCTCTACTGAGAAACCACAATCTACGATATAGTCCCATATAGCTAATGATAGATACACAGTATTCCTAGCACTAGGTTGATGAAGTATCAACCCAAGGTATTTTCTTTAAAGCACACAAAGTAGCAATAGTTTGTGTCCGCACCAAAAAGTTTTGCAACAACACAGAGCGAGTTAATAACAACATCTGAGAGATGATTGAGTGAAAGCCTTATATACAGCATTTAAAAATTAGACTTATCTATATTCTTGAAATATTCAAAGTTTTATTTCTAAGCTATACATTGGTATTCTATAATAAACCATTAGAGAAATTATTCCTTGTTTTGAAAATATTATTATGATTTTGATGTGTATCTGTTCGTAATGAATACTTGTTTGGAGTTTCAATCTCTTAATTATTATTAGGAAGAACCTTATTACTGATAAGGAATAGAATATACTACTGTAGTCTCCTGAGGAATTGTACATCCAATATTGTCTCTAATTCTACCCTGTGTCTAAAAGCACACACCACAAGAATCCAAACACCACAAGAAGAACAAGACAACAGTCTTTGAATGCAACATAAAATTCAGAAAACCACAGCAAACATGAAACATTGAAAAGCTGAACTACATTTCTTTTGTTTGTTAGGATTACAATTTTAATTACATCTGTGTACATAGAATAAGACTGTTCACATAGTACAGGGAGCAGCTACTAACACTGGTCCATTGGTATAGCATTTGATGGAGGTTACTGTTTATTGGTTATTCAGCGACTGTAGATTTCGGGGGCATCTAATTGATTTCTTCATTAGATTACACCTCTTAACAGTCTGGAACCTGACTGACTTTCTTGCTGTGACAATACTGGTTGAAAAGCACACATATTGGCTTAGCTCTTGGTAAAAACTGCAGATTAATTTAAACAAACATTCCTAAATGAATAAACTCATATAGATTAGGTTTTAGAATTTGGCCAGGCGTCTGCTGTCTTTGATGATTTTTTTTTTTTTTTTTCAAATTCTGGCATTTGCCTTATTGCCTCTTAAATGAATACTGGCTCACAGCTCCTTCTGGGACAAGGTCTGTAACTTTGCAAACAGGCAGTATCTCATTCCTAACCACGGTGGCAGCTAGAAATCATATGGCAACTGTACCTCCCAGGAAAAGAGATGCACTCCTGATAATTCTACGGATCTGTATTCCATGTGCGGAACTTATAAACGTGACTACTCAGAGTCACTGTGGGTGTAATCTAATCCTTTGTGTCAGTGAACATTTAGGTAAACTGGAGCTCATGTTAAGAAATTGATGTTTGGGACCAGACTGGCACACAACATAAATTGCATCCGTGATAATATGCACCTTCCCTTCAACTATTGCTTAAGTTAAATTCCCATATTAATAAATGGCTGAAAAGTGGTAAAGCTGGTACAAAAAAATCTCCATTTGTAAGAAGAAACAAAACATTTTTAAAAATCTTCCTTCAGGATTCATTTGTCCTTCATTTATTGTTCATAATTGTTCAAAGCCAGCACAAAATTGCAGTATTCTTATTTCTCTTTAGTATTGCATGAATGAATAAAGCTTAAACTATTCCCTGAAAAAGTTACATAGTAGCTAAACTAACAAATACCTGGAAGACTTGAAAAAACAATTAAGGAATCAAATGGCTGTAACTGATCTAGATGGGAAAGCAATGACAAGCAGCCGATGCAATGTTGCTTAAGTTGTCTAATTAGAGGCTGCTCCCATGAAATCTAATACTGCACTCAGTCGATTCGTTATGTTGCACTGTATTTCTAGGTACGTCGGTTCTCTCTGTTTGATTCCTTAGTCATTGGGGACGTTATGGTTCACAATAAGTTCACTGGTATCCATATTATGGATCTCCATCCTTTGGCAGGGCTGGCTTCCATTTCTCTTCAATTAGAGACCTCTTTTAGAAGTTCAGCAGCAGAAGGAAGGAAGGAAGGCAGGAAGGAGTAGGAGAAAAGAAAGAAAAGGAAAGGAAGAGAAGTTTTCTTACAACTAGAGCTATTTAACATTTAGAAGAAAAGGGGAGGATGTGCAAAGAGGGAGGAGCATAGAGAAGAAAGGAGGCGAAAAGGGAAGGAGGGAAGGAGGAAGGAAAGAAGGCAGGAAGGTAGGAAGGAAATGAGGGAGAGAGGGAACCAGTAATAAGGAAGCCAAGAAATGAGGGAGAGAAGGAATAAAGGAGGAAAAAAAAAAAAATAAAGAGGAAAAGAAAAGGAGAAAAGAAGATGAGATAAGGTAGAAAGAAACTCATCAGGAAGATGTGAGGAATCTGAAAGCTGCTTCATAGTCTTGCTGCTAAATTATCAGTGCAGTCTTGGTTGATTTTTGATGTTCTTCACTAACCTCTAAGTTTCTTCGACATCAATCTTGGGTTTATTTTCCCTTTTTCAGCGTGCAGGTAGGAAGGCCCAGGAAGCTCTTAGTCAGACCTTCGCCTCCAGCATTTCCAAAAAAAGTTTGTGCATGGGGACTTTGCCTTCTAGTTTGATGTTGTAGAAATGCTGTACCGCCTTTGTGGACGTCTGCCTCAGGAGGGGCAGCGTCATCAGCATCTTGCCAGCCCGACGAGGGTCTTCCATGTGCTGGCCAGCCTCATAATCCTGCAGGGCCTCATGTAAAACATCCTGGAGCTTCTGAACGGCTTCAACGTCTTCTATGTGCATGGAGTCTGTACAACAAAGCAAAAAACATCAACAAGAAGATTAACAATAATACACCTACGCAGAATAGAGCTAAGACAGTGACATATTATTCTTGAACATCTCTAAGCTGTGATTGGCTCAGAGAATATCACACTTCCAAAATCTGGATTCTTTTTCCTAAATTTCACTACTGTAGATAATTTCCAATAATGATTTAGAACATGGGAATTACTATAGAAGATCCATTATTTCAAACGTGTGAGTTTCTTCTTCCTAAGCAAGAGAAGACTTTCTTTTAACAGATTACATTCTTGGCTATTTCATTCATTATCTCATTTATGTAGTCATTCCTTCATTCAACAATTATGGAAGGCCATCTATTAAAAGTATTAGTCAAAATGCTGTGGGGGTAAAAGTTGTCTGAAATTCTAATCTTGCCCTCATAAAGCCCATATTTCACAAAAGGAAAGAAAAAGGTTGATGATTAAGATTTTAAGAATTCCATGTAAATACACTGAAGCTAACACTATATCGGTTGTAGATTGTACAGAAATCACAATAAATTGCTTATTCTTTTAGGATTTTTAGTGCACTGTTAACAGTTCATTAAAAGATCCTTATAGAGTCTGCTTCTGTACTGGAAAACAAAGGAAGTCTTTAAATTAATGAGTTCTGAAATATTTTCACATTTGTGAAGGTGAACTTTGCCCTTAAGTGACTAATTTAAAAATCTAATTCAATCAAGCAAGGAAAGGGTTAACAGGGTTGCCACAATCATTCTTGCAAGAAATGTGAGATGTGGGGGGAAAAATAACTTACAGCTCGAGCTCGGAAACAGACACTTAATTATATACAAGTTTGAATCATTTAGCACGTTTTATTGATTCTGATGACAGTTTATCTGTTAATTACACATAATGGAGTCTTTGGGGGATTCTTCATGTTTAATAATTCTAGTTCTCTGAGAATGCAGAGCTCTAAGATATATGTAGTTAGCCTAATTTTTCACATAATTCACATATCAGATCACATGCACAAAAAAGAGAGAGGAAATGCAATTTAAAATCAAGTGGCTAAACATATGATAAAAAAGATTTGGCAAAGTAATTAAAAGATTGATGGCTATAAGCAGGAATGTGTTTTTAAAACTTCCTTATATTTTGTTTATTGTTTTTTTTTTTTACATTGTCCTTTTGAATCATTTCACCACATCATTGGTGAATTGACCATGATTTGCCTTAGGTGGTTAATGACATATTTCTTTAAGAAGAGTTTTAAATAATCTGGAATATAAGTTGCTTATAAGTATTGACTGCTAGGACTTGAATCCTGCCTGATGGAGCCAAAAGAAGGAATTCTTCCAGGTTGGAAATGTTGATAGTTGTGCCCTGGAGTGGAACTCAAGACATTCCCCAACATATATCCTGGCCTTTCCCTATGAATTGTTTCTACCGAGGCTTCTCTCTAACCTGGTTTCTGGATGGATGGCAATCGTATCCTCTTCCTATGTGTGTCCTCTTAGAAACCAGCATACATAATTTCTGAAGCTGGCTAAAGAGTTGGTAACGTTAGTGACAGAAAAATAGTCATGGAGATGGAGACAACACGCTTGGATATTTTTTATTTCTACCTTTACACTTAAGTGCTGTCTGAAGGGAAAATGGTGAGCATGGTATACTAAATAAACCATTTATTAAATACCTGTTTCGGGTGAGGTCTCTGATAATCACTTTATGAACATTGCCTCATTTCATCTCCAAAAGCCCTGCAAGTTAGGGGGCACTGGTACTAAGTGTCAGAGTTTGGCTTAAATTCAAAGGTTCTTTGATTCAGGTTTCTTTGAATCAAATTACGCTGCTAGAATTTATAACACTGGACATGGCATTTCCTTTTTTGTGTGTGTGAGGAAGATTGGTCCTGAGCTAACATCTGTGCCCATCTTCCTCTATTTTGTATGTGGGACGCTGCTGCAGCATGGCTTGATAAGTGGTGCGTAGGTCTGCACCCGGGATCCCAACCTGTGATCCCCGGGCCACCGAAGTGGAGCACGAGAACTTAACCACTATGCCACCAGGCCGGCCCCAGCATTTCCTCTTTTTAAAAAAATGAGTTGAAATTATCGGCTGAGCTCATCTCATTCAACTTTCCGTCTTCATCAACAACATTTCTAATGAAGACATTTCCAGTTGTATGTAGAACATTCTATTTTACAAAGGGCAGAACTAACTACTAGAAATGTCTCTTTCCTCTTTTCCCAAATCTGTCTCCAACTTCCATCCTCTGGTCCTGGTTCTAACTACTGGAACAATACAGGATAAATGTCCTTCTTCTCCATGGCAGATCTTTAAACGCCTGAAATCAGCGGTACAGTCACCTCAGCCCCCACCTCAAGTCTTGCCTTCCCCACTACTGCTGCCCGGCAGGAGATATATTATAGGATGTCACAGGAAATGAGGCAAGAACAAATAGCAGAGAGATATGCTCACAAACAGCAATTAAGACTTCAAACTATTCTTTAAAGGCTGTGATTTAGCTTGAGAGATTTAAAAATGATTTAATCAAATCACCATGATAATTTAACTTCCCATTTACAGAAAAGATTCTAACTCATTTTAGCTTTACCCATTCTCGGATCTGCTAACACTTGAAATGCAAACTCACTAAATCTGAACTATTTAATTAGACCATGATTCAGCTGGCAGACTGCTGAAGAAAATATTAATCTCCATTAGGGATCCTAGTTCAAGTTCTGGCTCTGTGGCTTTAATCTCTGTTTTGTTCTTTGGCTAAATTTATACATTTATGTCTGATTCAACAGAACCGGCCTTAATTTATGTAATTATTTAGCTTTGGTTGTGGTGCTGGTTTCTTTTTAACTTTATGTTTTAGAAGAAATAGTCCCAGTATTTGTGCTAATGGGAACCAGTTAAACTTAATAATGGAAATCATAGGTTTATGAATTAATTAGACAGGGCGAGGCTATACATTAAAAAGGCCAGGTGAGTTGTTAAAAAAACTAGGATGCTGGAGCCCAAGCCCAGACCTATTAAATCAGAAAATTGGAGCTGGGTCCAAGACATCAGTATTTTTAAAAATCTATGTGATTCTATGGCCAGATTGGGCCAGCAGGGTTGAGAACTACAGAACCAAACAATAAGAGAAACAGATGCTATTCTAAAAGTATCAAGATTTCAAAAGATAACCAGAGTTCAAATGGTACATGTATTGTCACCCATATATTAAGTTTCAACACTCAATAATAAAATAGAATCCTTTCATTAAATTCCAATATTTTACTCTGTGAAGTGGGATCCTAAAGCAGTGTGTCTAGTTCAGATCATTTACCTTGGAAAGACAGCTAAATATCTTTACACCTAAGCTGCAAAATTCAGTGAGACTTAGAGCCATTGCAAAAGAAGATTTTATTTGTATATCTTACCTGGGATAAAATACTGCCCTTCTCTATGATAAAAATATTAATTATTGTGGGCATGGGCATAGCTACTCTAGAAAGCCCAACTATTTGGGAACTATCTTCAGGACTAGAAGCTCATCCTTGGCAATATTTTCTCAATGGTGCCAAGTCTGATTTTGAGGGTAGAATTGAATAATAGAAACAGACAAAGTATATTCAGAGTCAAGTCTAGTACATAATATAAACCAACACAGAGTAAGCTTTTCTGGGGAACATAGGTGTTGATTTTCCTTAGTGTTCGTAAACTACCTACGTGAAGAGGGGTAGTTAAGATTTCAGCCAACGTGACTTTCTCCAATCACTAAAGGAAGGAAACACAGTTATGATGGAAAAGACAGAGAAGAGAGCAAGGTCTATTTTCTAAAAGATAATTTGCATCTCAAAAGTTTTATATGCAATATATGAGGAGGCTAACAGAGTGATCCTCTCTGTTGCAATCGGCGTGGGTGCTGAGGAACACTGGTTGACTGCCATGCAAACTGGCTCTTGATTAACACAGAGAATTGATCCTCAATTTTTTAAAAAAGGTTCCTATCATAAAGTTTTTATTAAAAATAGGTAGACTGGATTCTAGAAAGAAGGCAGTGGTGGCAGCAAGATTTTTTAATCTTTCCAAATCTGCACATGATAAAACATAACAACTAGATGGCAAAGCCAAAAATCCATACACAACACTCACAACAAGAGTAAGTGGCAAATGTGTCCAAGATACACAACACACACTCACACAGAAAATCAGGATTAGTGTACGTGTGTCTGTGTTCCTAGCTCTGTCCACGGAAGGGGTCTAGGAAGAATGGCCAACCCAGAAGCGCAGTAATGAGTAATGAGCAACCTAGCACCCAGAGTAGAGTTGGATTCCAGGCCCTGGCCAGGACATATTTTTTTCTTTTTTTTTGAGGGGAAGATCATCCCTGAGCTAACACCTGTTGCCAATTCTCCTCTTTTTGCTGAGGAAGATTGGCCCTGGGCTAACATCCTTGCCCATCTTCCTCTACTTTATATGGGATGCTGCCACAGCATGGCTTGACAAGCGGTACAACGGCGCGTGCCCGGGATCCGAACCTGCGAACCCTGGGCCGCCCAAGTGGAGCACACAAACTACCGCTTGCGCCACCGGACCAGCCCCAGGAAATATTTAAGATAAGTATGAAACTTCTTGTCATACTAGATAGGAAGGACACTATCTACAACTACTAAATCATTCAAAAAGATTCCAGAAGCCAACCTGAAGAGGTTCCCACTGACCCAAAATGGGACAATTTGAGCTTCCAAAAGGATTACTACTGCAATTGATTGAAATCCACTGAATAGGTTTAAATATATGTGTTTATAATGACATTAAAAAAAGGTACCAATTCTTTATCTTGAAAACTGGTCAATAAAGAGAAAGGATCAAGTATATATCCTACCTTTCCTATACTAACTGCACACTGGTAAACAAATAAGAGAAGAGAGAAAGCATCACTTTATATAAGTACCCCAACTACTGAATGAAAAAAGAAACAATAAAATTACAATGATCGGTTTGCAACCCCCAGTGATTAATGG